CCCGCCCCCAGGCAGGACTGGCAAGGCCTTTGGCATAGAGGCAGCGACCTCAGGTAATTGGGGAATTCTAGCAGGTATAAGAGGCCCTTTTTTAAAAAATTGAATTTATCACGGTGACATTGGTTAAGAAAATTATACAGATTTTTAGCATGATACTCTCAAGTATCCATGTTGTCACAAGTGGCAATATTTCATCTTTTCTTATGGCTGAGTAGTATTCCATTGTATATACTAGTACAGTGATGGTGAACCTATGACACGCGTGTCAGAGGTGACACGCGAACTCAATTTTTTGGTTGATTTTTCTTTGTTAAATGGCATTTAAATATATAAAATAAATATCAAAAATGTAAGTCTTTGTTTTACTATGGTTGCAAATATCAAAAAATTTCAATATGTGACATGGCACCAAAGTTAGGGTTTTTTCAAAATGCTGACACGTCAAGCTCAAAAGGTTCGCCATCACTGTACTAGTACGTACCACATCTTATTCTGAACACCAGGGCCCCATAGCACAAGGGTTCCACCAACATATGACCCAGTTTCCCAGCACCTCCGTCACTTAAACCATCCCCATGTCCTGGCCAATCCAGGGTAATGAAGCCCTCTGGAAAGCTGGTGTTAGGGTTGAGGAGTTGGAGTTTCTGACTTATCCCTAGACTTGAGGGTATGGAAATAACATGTCACTGGAAGCAGGATGGGGGAGGAGGAGAGGCAGGGAAATGACTACCTTAGAATTGATACAAATAGTGCTCTTTTGATTTTTCCAAATGCTAAAAAGTAAGTCTAGACTCAGACTTGCCTGCTTTATCAGTTTTGAGATTATTACTACTATATATCTCCTCCATTTCTTATGTCATTGCCAGAGAGAGAAAATTGAAATGACTCCTCTTCTTCATGTGCATTACTCCCCCCCACCCCCACCCCAGCTTTCTTTTAAAAGGCAAGTCTACCTCTACCCATACTGTACATTGCTCTATCCTCTGCCCCTAATTCCCTTCTCTCCCTTTTCCTCATTCTTTCTCTCTGGTTTCTCCTCCTCATTTACTAATCTGGCTCCTGTCCCTGCCCTAGCTCTCCCAAGCCCTCCTCTCCTTGTCCTTCTTTTAGTCCTCATTTTCACAAATTAACATATATCTCCACTCTGAAAAGATATGAAGCAGTGAGGGGAAAGGAAGCTTTGGGGCCAGGTTTTAACTCATTCCTGGAGCCAGCCAGAGTGCTGTGGCATTTGCCACTGCTGTGAAATTGCAATAAACAAGGGGCTGCCCTTATATTTGTAACCTTTCCTCTGTTGGTGCTGAAGACATGAATTGAATGTTGAGCAGTCACACCATGCTGTCACCTTCTAAATGCATTACATATTCTTTTGAAAGAGAATTGAGAGAAGCTCAGATTAGGAAGGGGAAGCTCTAGTAATTTGGTAAGAAAATAGTATTCTTTTACCAATAGGAGTTTATCATCCTAGTAATCTAGTAGTGAGCTGGCCTCAAAATGAGAGATTAATTTTCTAAGAATAATCCTGAATATATATATATA